CAGTTCCGGCATCGCCATCTGGTTTCGTTGATTGGGTACTGTGATGAAAAGAATGAAATGATCTTGATTTATGAATACATGGAGAATGGGACTCTCAAGAGTCATCTCTATGGCTCGGGTTCTCCCAGCTTGTGTTGGAAGGACAGGCTTGAGATATGCATTGGAGCAGCTAGAGGACTTCATTACCTTCACACTGGCTATGCAAAAGCAGTTATACATCGTGATGTAAAGTCCGCTAACATCTTGCTCGATGAGAATCTCATGGCCAAAGTAGCTGATTTTGGGCTTTCTAAGACAGGACCTGAAATTGATCAGACTCATGTGAGCACAGCAGTGAAGGGGAGCTTTGGATACCTTGATCCTGAGTATTTTAGAAGGCAACAACTGACTGAGAAATCAGATATCTATTCATTCGGGGTGGTATTGTTTGAAGTTCTTTGTGCCAGACCAGTTATAGATCCATCCCTTCCAAGAGAAATGGTTAACTTAGCTGAATGGGCAATGAAATGGCAGAAGAGAGGACAGCTGGAAGAAATAATAGACCCTACTCTTGTGGGGAAAGTTAGACCAGATTCACTTAGGAAGTTTGGAGAAACTGCTGAGAAATGCTTAGCTGACTTTGGGGTTGACAGGCCTTCTATGGGAGATGTCTTGTGGAATCTGGAGTATGCCCTTCAACTACAAGAGGCAGTTGTTCCAGGCGATCCCGAAGACAACAGTATTAATATGATTGGTGAGCTCTCTCCGCAAATCAACAATTTCAGCCATACTGATAGTAGTGTTTCTGCTGCAAAATTTGAAGCCTCGAGTGTGGATGATCTCTCAGGTGTTTCAATGAGCAGGGTATTCTCACAACTGGTTAAGTCTGAGGGCAGATAACTCGCTAGATGGTAAGCTTGATGGATTTAGCTCCTCTGATAACTCTGGTTTTTCCTTTCACCAACCACTGTTTTTGTCATATTTGAAGAGATGGGGAAATTCTCTTTGTTTTGCTGGGAAACGAAACCCAATACTTGTCAAGGTGCATTTGCTTCCTTGTTCAAATTATGAGAGCATCTCCCCAGATCATTTTATGTCTTGTGATTGGAGACATTCCCATGTTCTACAGCTAGTCGGCTTTCATAAAGTTGTCTAAACCATGCTGAATTGTTTCCAGAATTCTGCAATCAAGCTACATTTTCAGTTACAGAAGAGATGGTTCAAGTGAGTTTTAGTAAATTGACAAGGAAGTTGAATTTTATCCTGTACCAATGTATGTGTCTTTATTCTTTGTTGGTACTAATATGAAGTCGGTATGAGGTGCATTAATTTCTATGTTTGCAGATGTTTTTGAATATTTTTTTTCATTGCATCGAGTATTCTTCACATTATGCTTAGTATGACAATAACACATGATGTGCCTGTGATGGAGGAATTATTCTAGTTTGAAACCATTATTGCAAGGTCTCATGATGATGATGTAGTTGTTTTGCAACTGCTGGTATTGGAAATGATTTCCATGCTGCTTTTTTTGACCCGGTAGGCGTGCCATTTCCCTGAGTTGCATGGATGGAAAATATCCATTCATGCTGAAATTTGTTGAATTAATTTGGATTTGAACATGAGACTCAAAGGGGAGCAGCCATTGGATTACACCTCATGACTTATCAGCACAATTGAAAATTCATTTAACGATAATGATGACCAGATGACCAAAAGGATTTGTCCTTTTTGCCTCCATGTTTGTTAGTGTTATTTTTATAGTTTTGATGTATTCATGTTAAAAATAATATATATATATATATTCTGTTTAGAAAATATTATTTAAAAAGAATTTGAATCACAGTAGGAAACATAAACTCTGCTAGAGAACTTATTTATCTATTTTGAAGGGGCCAGGCTCCGGGTCCGGCTCTTTGAACTCCCCAAATGCAATGCCGTCGATCACCGAGCCACCTCTTTCACCTTTCTTCCTTCTTATACGATCTTTTACCACTCTCTTCTCCATGCATCTGGTTTTGTTTGAGTGTTATGCATGCTCGGACAAATATGGAATCAAGAAAAGCTTGTCCGACAGAGTTGTAGTGGAATTCTAACACGAAACACAAAATCTTAAAAGTGAAAGAAGATCATCTGATTAGTATGAACTGCTTGCTACATATCCCATTGTCCCAATAACTCCTGTCTGCGACACTCTTATTGAGATAGAAGTTATGAGCAATTTATAATGGTAGATTTGAAATAAAATATCATCATATTTCTGTCCATGTTTCTGCGCCCTCCTAGAAAAAACTACAAAGTTTTTAATAATTTTTACCTTAAAAATAAAGAAATCAGATTTTTGTCTTTGTTCCAAGAAATTATTAGACATTTCAGATATTACACTCCTTTCTCCCATAAAAATTATTTATCGTGAAATTATTCTAAAGATCCACACACACACACACACACATATATATATTAAAAAAATTTCAATGAAAAATTGAAAAACATGTTCATTTATTAAAAATAAAGACAAATTTCTTCACCATAAAAATAAAAGATATATCAAGATTATAAACTATTTTTCATTAAAAAAAATTAAAACCATGATTTTTATCAATCACCTTGATATTTTATATTTGGGATAATCTACTTGTATAATATTATTTTATTTCATTTAAATTAAATTAAATAAAAAAGTGTCGTTAAAAGGAGAAAACAATAATATATAGATAACTAAAAAAAATCTTTATATTAGATATATAATAAAACTTAAATTTGTCTCAATAAGTAAAAATGAAAATAAAAATAAAAAATTATTATTTTACATTGCTAAAAAAATATTTGTATGTTAAAAGGAGAAAACATATATTGTTCATGTTTTTCTTTATTTGAAAAAAAATGAAAACATTGTATTGAAAAATTATAGAGAACTTTTAAAATGTTTTTTTTTAAATTCAGTATAAATTTAAAAATTTAAAGTATTATTTTTTTAATTTTTTGTATTAAAATTTTTTACATTTGAATAAGATTTTTTTATTTATAACTATAATTTTTTAGAAAATTATAGTATTAAGGGATAAAGGTGCGTTTGTTTAATCTTAGCTTTTACATTTACGGTGTTATTAAGGGATAAAGATGCGTTGTTTAATCTTAGCTTTTATGTTTACGGTGTAAAAAACACAATTATATTATGAGACCCATCAAAAAATTGACTTTGGAAAGTATTTTTTATGAAGCAATGTTTACATATTTTTTTAACTGAATTTTGTAAAATATTATTTGTTTTTTAATTTTAAAAGCATTTTTTTAAAATTTAAAAAAAAATTATTTTTTTTATTTAATTCAAATTAATTTATTTTTTTTATTTTCAAATTATTTTAATGCATTGATATCAAAAATTATTTTTATGCATTTTCAAGTAAAAAACACTTTTGAAAACACAACTACAGCCAAATATTTTTAAAAAATAAAAAAATAATTTTTATGCATTTCCAAATAAAAAACACTTTTGAAAACACAACTACAACCAAACATTTTATACATACTTTTTTACTATATATAAACCTCAACCATAATTTTTATCATATTTAAATCTAACTAACAACATTTTTTTAAAATTTAATTATTTAAAATTAAAACTACAAAAACTATCTCAAATACAAATACACTCGAAGTGATAAACATGATGTAATGATAGCAGGCCAAGCGCATCCAGAACAATAAAATATATTCTCTAGTTAATTGGTGTTAGATGGTGAAGATTTATAATTGTTAGTGTGTTTAGTGCAACAGTCTTAATTATTAAATTTTAAATTATTTTTTATATTTTAATTATTTTAATATACTAATATTAAAAATAAATTTTAAAATATATATATTATTTTAAAACAAAAAATCACGGTTCAAATTATTATTTGTTTAATGGGAAACCGCGTAATATATGTCACAGGTTCTCATTTGAGTGGGCTCCACTAAAATTTCAGTGTTCTAACCTATATAAAAGCATTTTACTTTGCCTTTTGTTTTCAAAACCCGACAAAAAAAGCTGTTGTTTTTAAAATAATTTTTATTTAAAGATATATTAAAATAATATTTTTTATTTTTAAATTTATTTTAGCTGGCCGTCTGGTAAGTACGTCACGGTCAGGCAATATGTAGCAAACAAAGCAAGAATAATAATAAAAAAAAAAACCCTGCTTTGCCAAAACCTGTTCTGCTGGAAGATGCGACACTCAAAATCAGTTTCACCCAATAAGGAAGTGACACATCATCATACTCCACTCAGGTACGAAGACAAGACCAATGACAACTTTTAAGATTACCAATCGATCCTTACAAGGGACACGTGGTACTTTCTTACAATGGATCTCCCCGTTACAAGTTTATATTGACGCACAACTTGGAAGTGACTCCTTTTTTGGCTTATATAGTCCCTTTACTTGATAGATATTATTAATATAGTCCCTCTATCCAATTTGTCATTAGTTTATGCAACATGGCATGACATGTCAAACAAAATTTGTATGTATCGTGTCGTAAGACAATGATGCCACTGAATATACGAAATATTTCATTATTTATTGCAATTAATTTGAGAGATTTCATGAGATTTGAGAGGTTAGGGTTTTTGAATATGAGAAGGAGAATTTTGAATTTTTAGTCCAAATTATAAATGGTTTTTTCTTCTTAAATCTTTTTTCTATCTTTTCAATTTAATTTTTATTTATAAATTTTGCAACTTTTTTCTCTTGAGTTTTCGTTTTGGTCCCGGCCATGTTGCGCTTTTTAAAAAAAATTAAAAATATTTTTTTCTTTAATTTGTTTATGTATTTTTAAGTTGAGCGCCCAAAGCTAATGCTAAATCTAGGTGGGAAGGATAATATTGAGCAGTGTTTCAATCGAGGGACTGTTTAAATTAAAAACAGAGTAAAGGTGGACACATTTAGAAAATATCAAGAATAGAAGGATTCAATGTGAGCACGAAAAATGTAATAAATAAATTAAATAGAAACTTCTCTCCCAGAAACCAAGCCAAGCTGTCTCTTCAACTATTTGTGACTCTGTCAGTTGCGTTTCTTTCTTCTTTGTCTGTGTAGTTCTCCCTGTTCGGGCAATAGCAAGAGAAAGTAAGAGAAAAACCAAAAGGAAAGAAAGAAAGAAGAAGATAATATAAAATATTATATTACATGGGTTTTCTTTGCTGCAGTGGGAAACCGAGCAAGCGATCAGAGAGCAGCAGCATCAATGAAAATAACAGTAACATTAAGCGCAAGGATCAAGCACAAGTCACTTCGGGTAGCTAAACTTTTCATGATCAAATTTTTTATCTTTTTGAATATTTAAATGTAACCCTTTTTCAGTCAGCTGATATGTTATAGGGTTTTCTTTCCTTCTTCTTTTTTTTCCCGAAAATCAATCACCATGGATTGAAACATAAAGGGTTTTCTTATGTTTTTGAATTTGTAACAATTCTTTTCACGCTTTGATTTGGAATCGTTTTGATTTTGTTGGTTTTTGAAACATTTCTCTAAATCAAGAGAGGTAATTATTCGTGATTGTTGGGCTTTATGTTGCTGTTTGGATGTCATAAATAGCGCCAAACTCTTTTCGGTATACATTATTTTTTTTACTTTCATGGTTGCCCCTTCTGACTGTTTTTTATATTTGTTTTAGGGTCATTGAAAATGAAGCCATATGTGAACAATTTAAGTAAAGAGGGGGAATCTAAGGATGATCAATTGTCATTGGATGTAAAGAGTTTAAATATGAAGGATGAGATTTCTAAGGATAGAAGAAGCAATGGAAAACAGGCTCAAACTTTTACTTTTGAGGAACTTGCGGCCGCAACGAGCAATTTTAGGTCTGATTGTTTTTTGGGTGAAGGAGGTTTTGGTAAGGTTTACAAAGGGTACCTGGAAAAAGTCAACCAGGTTCGTACAAAGTAATTCATTTACTACCTACAGAAATATTGTTTTCTGTTTCAATAGGTTCGTGTTTCATTACAGGGTACCTTCCTTTTACAGTGTCCCCGATGTAGTTTGCCTATGTTCACCGTTAATTAGTTGGTTAGACTTAAATTGTCTTGTTCTTCGTGTTGTTGTCATAGGTTGTTGCTATCAAGCAACTTGATCGAAATGGAGTTCAGGGGATTAAGGAGTTTGTAGTTGAAGTAGTGACTTTAAGTCTAGCAGACCATCCAAATCTTGTCAAGTTGATTGGGTTTTGTGCTGAGGGAGATCAGAGGCTATTGGTTTATGAGTACATGCCATTAGGATCTCTGGAAAATCATTTACATGGTATGCAGGTCTCTTTGGCATTGGATTCTCGTTTTCATTGTTTACTTTCGTGCTTACCAAATTACTATTCTTTTATCTTTCAACATTTTCGCCTTTGTCATTTCTGCTTTCAGATATTCCACCCAATAGGCAACCGCTTGATTGGAACACAAGAATGAAAATAGCTGCTGGTGCAGCAAAAGGTTTAGAGTATTTGCACAATGAAATGAAACCTCCTGTTATATACCGCGACTTAAAATGCTCCAACATTTTGCTTGGCGAGGGCTATCATCCTAAGCTATCTGATTTTGGTCTGGCAAAAGTGGGACCCAGCGGAGATAAGACTCATGTTTCTACAAGGGTTATGGGCACCTACGGATACTGTGCACCAGATTATGCAATGACAGGTCAGCTGACATTTAAATCAGATATTTATAGCTTCGGGGTTGTTCTTTTGGAGCTCATCACAGGCAGGAAAGCAATTGATCAAAGAAAAGAACGTGGTGAGCAGAATCTAGTTGCATGGGTAAGACAATATCTGATTGATGTCCTTGTTTTTACATTACTGCTAAGGTCTTTGTTCTTAAAATTCAGCTTTACTGTGCTTTCAAGGACACTTGTTTTCTGGACAACTCTTAACTGGTTATTATAAAAATCGGGAAGCAGCCTAATGTTTTGATGTCATTTGGCAATTGGCTGATCAAACTGGCTCTACATGTTTAATTGCTTCTGATGACACCACTAGTGTGGAATATAGATGTTGCGTTTTTATGGTTGTTATTTCTGTAGATTGCCTCCTGTGCTAATAAAACAGAAATCTCTATAACAATTAACTAGTCTTGAAATTCTTTGGTTAACAACTCAAGTCGACTATAACTATAGTATCTTGATAACTTTGGCTCAGAAAAAGTATTTTGAATGTAAGATCTTCAATTTTGTAACTTCGTGATAAATAGTTGATACGTAGCTTTCTTCAACAAGGCTTAACTGTGAGTATGTGTTAAGAAGGGCATGCTTGCTTTTTGAAAATCGAGGTATAAAAATAGAAATTTGTTAAACCAAAGAGTAGAATAGTGATGACGGACTTGTGAAATACGTTGGATTTGCTTGCAGGCTCGACCCATGTTCAAAGACCGGAGGAACTTCTCATGCATGGTTGACCCTTTGCTTCAAGGTCAATATCCAATAAGAGGATTATACCAAGCCCTCGCCATTGCCGCAATGTGTGTGCAGGAGCAGCCCAATATGCGCCCTGCTGTATCCGATTTGGTTATGGCTCTGAACTATCTGGCATCTCACAAATATGATCCCCAAATCCCTTCTGTCCAAGACTCTCGGAGGAGCCCATCTCGTCCTGGATTAGATAAGGACAGGGGACAATGATGTAGCATAAATTGCATAGGGTGGGTCCACGAGTGACTAATATGGAGGATGGAAAATTAGGAATTGAGGACCCAACACCTTTTTGCAGTGTTAATATACCTAGTGCCGGGTATCAATTTTTGCAACCTGGGAGATATCTGGCTATAGTTCCATCCTCATCCTCTCAGAGAAATTCCTGCCCTTTCGTTTTTCCAGGTGTATATGACAACTGGGCTTTGGGATTTAAGATGCCTCTCTTCAGAAATTATTTCACATTCTATATATTCTATCCTGAATAATCAAAGTAATAATTGCCCTTCTCTAATCTCACTGAGGTGTTCTTTTTTGCACACCTGTCTATAGTTTTTTTCCTGTCATTGAATTTAGCGTTATACCTGGAAATGGGAAGTTGAAATGGGACAGCATTACCCGGAACATTGATCATCTTCTTCCTATTCTGGACACAAGGTACACTGGCTTGGTATATTCCATGGCATACGCAACAATGTGAAGACATTTTAAATGTTGAAACGCATTTCTTTTCATCCAAGGAAAGCCTTCACGATGAGGCAGGGTTTTCGTGAGAGTTTTAACCAGAAGTTGAGTGTCAAAACTTTTCAGGTTCATGTGTTTGTTAGGAGGTGTAAAACAAGTCGTAGAGAGCACCCATGAAGTGACATGAACATGACAATGTAGTTTGCCAAGAAATTGGAAGGAGGTTATGCTTTGCTGAGACACTATCATTCCATTCTATTCCATCCAATGAAATGAAATTGTAGATTTACTAGAATCCAATTCAAGTGCAGCCAAACAAAAAAAGAAGTGGTCTGGGGTGAGGAAACTATCACTCAGAATTTTATATTAATTGCAGCAGAAGTAGGTACAAAAATATGATTTTCAGCACTTTGAGAAGATAATAGAGAGAACACCTTTAAACTAGGTGATGTAGCGAAAACAAATTGTTGTTAATCATGAGCTTGTATCAAATTTACCTCTATGAATGAAGCAAAGAAATGGCTATTGAAAACCTGAGTTCTTTGTTGCAGCAGCTCAAACTAGTAAAAATGAGCTCTATTTCAGTTCTATTTTTATACCCTTGGTATTGATTTGATTCCTGTATGCGTTCAGCATTCTCCGGGAAATTAAGGCACTGGGATGGTATGATCCGAGAAAGAAAATAATAAATGTTACTTATGGTGGCTGGAATTCACTGATCTCACCATCTCTGCAATTGCCAACCCACAAGTACATCGTCGAGGCTTTATTTGCTGGCAGAACTCTGCAACAGTCCCTTCTCGGTGACTGCAAGACAAGCTGCATTTAGTCAGTAAATGCATCAACCTTGCAAGATTTTGCCTGCAAGCTGCTGGCTGCCTGGGTGCTATTACTATTGTGTCTGACTTTCACTAAATTTCTAAGCAGAGTATATAATGATCATTTAGGTGAGTTTATTATTACTTGGTTCCTTTGGAGTTTGGACTGAGACACTACGTGACCAATTGTTTGAAGGATGGCAAGAGAAAAACGTATCATAATTAGCACTCATGGAATAACATTAAAGAAAATCATGTTCTTTCAAAGAAAGTAGGTATTACCTTCAGCCATCGAAGGGTATCCGGCCTCTTCAATACTACAATAGAGTCAATTCTTTCTGGGGATGCCATTTTCCACCGGCAATAAGGGGATGGTGATTTACGGCGAGTGTAGACCCCGATCGCTCGCTTCTTAGCTCGATCATATTTAGAAGTGCTCATGTAAAAAACGAAGGGCTTCATACATGGGTGCTTCGTCACGGGCCTTGTGTTAAATGTATATGCAGTATAATCAGCTTTTCGATACCAATTAAGAAAGGTTCTTGCCGGGGTCTCAAGCTCTCTAGGAGAGACGACTCCCCTCCAGATTTGAACAACATAGCCCCATGAGACTGAGATGGACCAGTACCTATTCTTGTCATAGCAGATGGATTGTTGCATTATGCTAGCTGAATCAAGCTGCACCGACTTGAACAAGTGTTGGAGAGCTCTGGCTCGGCTCATGCCAGGGAATATTGGCTGCACTACATCGATATGATGAAGTGAAGCCAGTGGAGCTACGGGATGGGCTGCCAGAAGGCCTAGAAGGTCTCCATATACATCATACTGCATAAGCATAACAAATTAACAATCCAGATGATTATATATATATATGCAACAGAACGTTATCTTATCAAAGAATTTGACACCAAAATTAAATTGCCTCTCCTGGCCCTAGCTTTCCGAAAACGTAATCGTTTCTTCGTCAGAAGCTTTTCAAAAATATTGCTGGAATTAAGAAATTCATTAAGCTCATAATTAATTAATGCTTACAGGTTTTTACAAACGAAGAACTTTATATTCGTTCCATTCAATTCCTTAATTCCTGCT